GTGACACCAACTAAGGCAGTAAATGGAGCCCCGGTGTCTAGCTGGCAAGCCGTGGCCTGCCAGAGGCCACAGCAATGCCACCAGCAGCCGCCGCCGCGTAGTGGGTTGCATGACAGGAAGCTTGGAGAGCAGCCGGCTGTTCTTTGGCCTCTGCGTCTGGCTCTGAGTAGCAGCAGCCTTGGGGGCGAGGACTGTGAAGATGAGACTCATCGGGGACCCACCTATATCTGTGCATTAAAGAGGAGCTAGGGAGACCTCAGATCCCCCTCTCTGGAGGGTGCTGCCGCCTCCAGCCTGTGTCATGCCCACCTCTGATCTAAGAGCTAAACAAGCTCTTGGCAACCCTCTGGATGAACCCCCTGCTCCTGGCCACACAGCTGGACTATGTACCTTCTTGGTGAGGAGAAAGAGGCACGGGAGCCCGGAGGAGGGAAGCAGGCCACTGCTCAAATGCTCTTCATGTCCAGCCGAGACAATGGAGCAATATATGTCCTTGGGTCTAGACACGTCTCCATGCTTTCTTCTAGGGAAAGATGACGGTGGCCAAACCAGAGAGTGACCTGGTGGTGGTGGTGGTGGTGTGTGTGTGGTGGTGGTGGTGGGGCAGCAGGGAGCTGTACACCTAGGGTTTTCAAGGCTGTGTGACCCTTAGAAGCAGCTCCCCGGACCTTTCTTGCTAGAACCTTCTGGGTTCAAACTGCCCACCTCCTGCAGTTGAAGGTTGAACCACTTACACCAGCCAGAGCTTCCTCCATCGCTCTTCTCTGTTGTGACTCCCAACCAGGTGTGTCACCTCGTTAAGCCCTGTTGTCGTCCCCCCCCCCGTTGTGATTATTGAAATAATCTATTTGTTCATTAATACAATTGTATTTCCATGTGCCTGACACGAATAATGATGATATGGCTATAGGGAGAGTAATTTTTATTGTATCCAGTTCCCTGCGTGTCCCCGGCTGGATCTGGAAGGTGGGATTTGGGTCTGTCTGGAAGAACCCTCCCTGCTTTCTTCCCTGACTGTCTCCAGCTTTGTCCTGCTGAGGACCTGTGACTGGGCCTTCAGCGCTCTCCAGGGACAGCCACAGTCCCTGCTTGCTCCTCCTGTGACTCAGCACTTGTTCCTGGCATTTGTGGAATGATGCCCTGGGTCTCACAGCCTCTCTCTCATGGGACAAGGCTTGGGCCTCTTCAGCCCCTCAGGATTTCATCGCCCTTTCTCCTTCCGGGTTTAGTGTCTGGCGAGCAAAAAAATGTGTAAATTCGCCCAAGGTCTTCGAGTCCTTGGCTTCGGGTGGAGATTGGTGGGACCAGTCCACTTCAACCGCTCTCCTCCTCCTTCTTCCTCGGCTTTCCCTCAGGCGTGCTAACCTTTGCCAGTGAGCCTGCCAGACCTGGAGAGAGAGAGAGAGAGTGTGTGTGTGTGTCGCTATTGTTAGGTTCCAGTCGGTTCCAGCTCATCGTGGTGACCTTGTGTGTGACGGCACAGGATCCTGCCCCATCCTCAATCTTAGCTGGGGGGGAGCCCATTTGTTTCCAGCCACGGTGTCAGTCTATCTCCCTGAGAGTCTTCCTTTGTTTGCTGAACCAAGCCAGACGTCCTTTTCCTTGTTCCTCCTGAGAGCGGGTCCAAAGAACGTGTTACAAACCCTTGCCTGTCTTGCTTCTAAGGAGCATCCGGACAAACATCCAATACAAATTCGTTCCGTCTTCTGGAAGTCCATGATATAATTGATATTCTTTGCCAATGCCATAATTCAAAGGTTAGCAATTCTTCTTCAGTCATCTCTATTTGCTTTTTAGCTTTTGAAAATACCTTGGCTCTGTCAGGCTGACCTAAGTCCTTAACGTGACATTTTGGCTCTTTACTACGTTATGCTTTAAACGCATAAAGTAATTAACTTTTAGCGATGTTGGTGCAAGAAAAGGTCATGGGAGTGAGAAGTGATTGGATCGAACTCACTTGAGGCTGACAGTATGGCATTCTGTGTCGATCTGCGGACCATGGGACCAGATTCTGGGGAGATACAGTAAGCCTGTGAAAGCCAGAACCTGTGCAAAGCAGAAACTGTTCGACAAAGGAAAGCTGAAATATTGAAATTAAGTGGTTAGATTGTACCTGGTCAAAGACAGAAAATTGGTGAGCCAAAGAAAGACAAGACCCCAAGGTGTGAAGACAACATGCCGGCGCAGAGTAGGGAATCAGTGGAGAGGTCTAAGGGGCTGGTCCCAGCCCCAAATACTAAGTGGATGCCTGCCCCTCCCC